CCTTATTATTGACCTTATTATTGACCTTATTATTGACCTTATTATTGACCTTATTATTGACCTTATTATTGACCTTATAATATACCTTATTATTGAACTTATTATTACTACCGATCTTTCTACTGATTCAGACCTTTTAACCTGAAGCATTGCGTTCAAATACACCGAGTGATCAAGATAAAACTTAATTCAAATTGATTGGCTCAAGGGATGATTTACGATATGACTTTTTCACTGTAAAGGAGGGTAAAACAATAAGGTCATAAATAAATACCTTTATCTCCAGGGCAGGGTAATGTGTAGCCATGATCCCTATGCTGTACGAACTGCCTGTCGTTTAGCTTAGTTGTGCAGTACATTGCAAAGCAATCTAAGCAAATAGCATGGCCCACGTCGCAAGGGAACACGAGGACTGGATCCCTAGGGAACAATGGTGACAGCATAATTAGGCTTTGACAATCACATTTTGTTGAAGAAATAGAAAATGCGTGCTGTGTGCAGTCATGAAGCACGCGGGGGTTGGCAGAACACGAGAGAAGTGTTAGGAGAAGTGCTTCTGGACATTTCTCGAATGTTCTGCCAATCCCCAAGTGCTTTATAACGGCACACAGCACAGTAAGCAAGTTTTTTATTTCTTTTATAAAATACAAATTACAATAACCGTTATTTTAGATAGGAATGAAGCACGCGCTCCAGAATCAGAACGCGTTAGTAACAGTTATTTTATAATAAAAAATAAAGATTTTTATTTGATAAAGAAAACTAACAACGGAAACGCTAATCTAGTACGTGCATTTGCCCTTTTTCTGACTCTTTGGGCACCTGCCTGGTATATGCGCCGCTTGGCTTCTTGCTCATAAGAAACATAGTAACGATGGTAGTTAATTTTCTCAGCGTTGCGTTATTGCTGGTATACACACAAACATCTAAATAGACTATTTTTTCTCAATGTTTTATCATTTCAGACCCCGTGTCGTTCTCTTGAGAAGAAGATTCTTTGTTTGATTTGTTCATATTTGAATGTCTTCTCATGCGCAACCGTTAAACAAAGAAATGATACTGTAGGGAATGACACGAGGCATACCAACTACCACCACCTTCACTATTTACAACATTGATTCACGCACAAATCTACCCTAAAATATACAGGACATTTACCCATCATTCATCCCACAAATGTATTCTCAGCCTCTAAAGGCTGACCACACTGACTGCGAAATGATCACCACTATGTCAAATAGATCGTAATCGTACTCACATAACGTCACCACAGGCAATACAAGGTACATCTCTTATATTAGTGCGTATCAGATAAAGAGCGACTGATCTCTCGTCCTCTGATGCTGGATGGGCGGCACACTTGAAGTAGAATTCCTTATGAATAAAAGATAACGATTATCAAATTGGGAGTCGTGATTCTCGAGTCTTTCTAGATTCAAATTGATATTTTCTCATGAGAATATTAGAATAATAAGACAATTGGTGGCTATAAGCAGGTTAGTTTATTCTTATGACAAAGGATGCGTGCAACCCATACATATGAATCGTTTTTGTCCAACTCATTTTAAACTTTAGGGGACTCCTATGCGTTACCTCGCACCGCTTGGGGGAGGGGGGGGGGTCGTTATTATAATGCATTTCCCATCGAGATTATTGACCAAGCTAATGATATAATATAACCTAGTATGTGACTGATTACCCATGATAATCAGTCGCATTCTAGGTTAAACGCGACTGAACGAAGCTCCTTCGATCGACAAGCAAGTAACCAGTAACCAGAAAATACCAACTTTCTTGCAGCTGAGAAGTTGTCAGATAAATCCTGCTCATTATTTTACACACGACACCAATTGCAGAAGTACTGTAATTCTGGAGAATATTTATACCTGTCATCTTTTTGCTACTCTCACTTACCGCTGTCTTTCCAGAACAACCTTCTTTTTGGCATACCCCTTTTATTCTGCCAGCCTGCAAAACGTCATCCCATCCTTGTGGATCCTGTAAAATGAAATATAGACTATAAAGTACCTGCAATAATGGTGTGTATAGCTTGGCCATACGTGGATAAGTTAATAAGGAGTTGTATTCATCATTTCATGCGTACTTGGCGCTTTAGCCTCACTCTTCTACCGTCAGTCAACTTTTGAGGAGATCAGTTTAAGGTGCGATTTTTTGAAAATGTAATGAAAGTTTGTTTTATGCTTTTAAAGAGGCATTTGTCAGGGTAATAATCTTAGTGTCCGGAATAAAGTTGTACACGTTGATCCTTTTTCATTCTTGAGTATAGCCAAAATCGCCACGAAAATCACACCTTTAATCGCTGCCAAAATCGTAACTTTTGGAGGGTGGGTCGCACTCCCCCCCTCCCGCCCCCGTCCCCACCCTTGCTACGCACCTGCTTACTACTGTCATATTACCTGATTTAGGACCAAGGTTCCTTCTTTGCACGTTGAGCAGCAAACTCGTAGTTTTCCTGGTTGAACGTCTTTACATTGCCTGCAATAAACGTAATACTGGACTGATCTGCTACCTAGATGATGAAATACAAAATAGTAAAACTCAATATAGGAGATTATCTTATGCGGCCATTCTTGTGTAAGATGTAAATAAGACTGTATCCTGTGGGCTCAGCATTCCCAATGTATGTGTATTCCGACAGGAAGCTAAACAAAATCCATGTATAGAAAGATTTTTTWAAAATAATGATCAAGGTTCGTGCTGAGGTGACCACTTTAACATTCAAGGACTATTCAAGGAGTATAAAAGGACCCAAAAATGAATTTTCAAGGAGTATGTTCAGATAACTATCCCAAGGTTTTACACGGTGGTTGCTAATGGCTGACTTTCAGATTTTCCAATCTTTCTGACTAGATCTATTTCAGTACCATGCAAGTAATGATCGAAGCAAAAAATCAAGGAGTTTTCAATTAGTTTCACTAAAATCGTTAAATTTAAGAGCTTTTCAAATGCCCTTGAAAACGTTTGTTAAATTCAAGGAGTTTTCAAGGAGTTTAAGGAGTAGCACGAACCCTGAATGATTTATGATTTATATCATGGTGTAGCAAGGCCTTGATTATAGGGGGGGCAATGAACCATTTTCCCGCCAAATTATCCACAGGCATCCCGCATGAGTCAATTATTTAATGATGTTAATCATGAGAGGTGGTTAGTACATGAGGTGTGGGCACTAAGAGTTTTCACTGCCAGGGTTTCTTTACATCCTCAGTAGTTCATTTACCTCCCACTGACATTGGTTAGGAATAATAAAGTGTGGAGAGACGGGACTGCGATTTAAAGGAGTTATCCCAACCACTTAAAGTCTAGGCATTTGCAGATTTAAGTACTGTTTTAAAATCACAGGCAAAAGGAGATATATTCTCTGGGGGAATTCCTTCATATAGAAGGGTGGGTATGCTTGTCGCAAATTTTTAAAATGACCCCTAAGAGGTACCCGAGTCCTGTCCAGTTGGGTGTGGCAACTAATGATTTTTATCCCTAAAGGTTACCAATTATCTTTGAGTGCTAACAGAAGTCAGATACTGAACCAAAAATAAATATCCTGCCAATTCTGATGTCATACATCAGACAATCTTAGGTATCTTATTGCCTCAAAAACGCCCTTAGAGGTAATGGCTTACTCTCTGGCACTTATCCAATTGGAGTGCTAAATGATATCATATATATTCATAAACCCTATTTTGACCTAGTCCTCCCACGATTTAAAACTTAGCAATGCTGAGTTAGACAAGGATTGTCAAGGGGGGTAGGGTGGTTTTCTTTTGTATTAATAGGGGTTTGGTTCGGGTGAGTAGCCTCGTAAGGGACTTTGTGTACTATGTATTGTTGTTTCACCTGCTCTAAGTGGCAAAAGTGTAGTCCCACAAAATATCCATACCCAACCCAAGGAGGAAACTAGGAATTCATCTGTGGGCCAGAGAAAGAACAAAATTACAGAGTTTTTATGGAAGAATATTGGAAGTTCCTGGGGGTAGGGGAGTCCTTTTACAAATTTCCTTTGTGGTGAGGGTATGAATATTTTCTGGATACACAATTATCAAATATATACAATAAATAAAGGATCGAGTACCTGAAGTGGAAGGGGCTTCTGAGGCTGGTATTGGACGAGGGTCTTCTCTCCCCTGATTGTCATTTAAAGTAATTCTAGCAAGTGGTGTTGTCGTTGCATCTACACTTATTCCCCTTGATCCACCATGGACGGCATGAATGATACTTTGTTGAGGTATTTCACAGTCCTGGAATGATACAGGGTAAGCAGATATGGATAACAATAATTACAAAGTATCGTGGTGTAACTGTTGACATTAGCATTAGTTACGGTACACGTGATTATAGGTATGTATGACTAACATTGATCAGTATTGTCTTACGCTCAGTACACRTACGAGATGTGACTATTAGAACTGCGCCGCCAATGCCGGTATTTAATTGTTAATTTTCCTTGGTCTACATCATTATTGCACTATTATATAGTATGAGCATCATGTAATCAGAATTAATTATATTCCATCCCAGTCAACCTGTTAATAAATGAAAGTGAATACATGACAAATATTTGAGAGGTTTATTAACCGAGTATATAGACATGGCGTGGAATTAGTGAAGCCACACATGGTAGGCAAATTTTAACCACAGTTGAAAGCACATTATTCAATTCATGGTTCCAACTCTCCTTAGTTACTGTTGCTATGTTCCACAAGCTTAACAAATTATCTAGAATATCTCAAAATTTAAAACTGACCAACCCTAAGCATTTTTGAAGCTTGAAAGAACAAAGCAAAGATCACTGTAAAGTGGAATTGTTTTTATTCCTCCTTTACATATTTCTGCTTCCTGTAGGTAAGTATATTATATTCTAGTCAAAAGAAAACAGAAAAATAAGCAAAAATTGCATTACAGTAGCCTTGGAATGAGGGCTGAGGCAAAAAAAAACAAGCTGCGACTGGCTGAAACAAAATTCACTGCTCAGCGATTAGTGATAACAACTTTTTTTACATCTGGCACACATAACTATTCATGCATAAACAATTGAAGCTTTAAAATATATTACGTTGAGATAGATACCCTTAAAACTGTGCTATCTCTGAGCTCCCTGCCAGCAAATATGATGCGTATTCCAGATGGATCTACTTCTTGTGTCTGTGCAATTTCTTCTTTTAATCTCTGAATAGTCCATGTCAAATCAACTTCAACTGGAATGTTGGTGCTGGAGTTGAACCTAACAAAGATATGAAACTTTTGGGCCATTCTTTAAGACCATAAACCTGGAAATAGTGAAAAAAAATAAAAAAATAAAAATCAATTAGTCATTAAAATTTAACTACATCAAACTGTTTACCTGTAGGAAAAAAAATGCAGCCAAACCACTAAAACAAAAACTAGCACAACACGCAAAAACCATTTGAGTGCAATTAAATTGGAACATCATTTAAATACTAAATAGCAACAATATTTTTATAGCACTTTTTGATATTTGTGCAAAATATTGCAAACTTGTAGTGTTTGTACTCTATTTTGGAACATTTAGCTAAAAATATTGGAGATGGAAATAGGGGTGGGTGATCATCATTTTTTATGCATTTTACAGAGGGTGGGCCGCTAGTAATAATGTGTAGCCTGAAGGGTGGGTCACTTTTTTTCATTTATGATGATTTCAGAAATTTCCGCCCTCCCCCTCCCCCNCCCCCCTCCCATACTTTATGACCATGAGTCCATAAAGTTGGCAGATCTTGTCTCCAATGACGAGTAACTGTCTGAGAGACCTGTATCATTATATTATCTCATTTAGCAAGCGGCAGCTCATAGACTACAGTATATAGAGTGTCATAAGTATTAAATGCATAACGGTGTATAATGGATAGTAATTACAATCAAGTACACTGTTATAACGTACAGTGTAATCTTATTTGCCAATAGTCAGCTTATAACTCAAGCACTTCCGGCCGGGAAAAGGGACTTTGCTTCGTGTTTCTGTTACTAAATATCTGATGTAGTTTAAATTAAAGAATGGAAATTTCAAAGAGCGATGGAAAACTGCAGAGTTTGATCTGGTTAATTTTATAAAATCTTACCTTTAATTTACACAAACAGCCAAGGAACTCGCCAGGGACCAAAAATAACAAAATAGAACACTTAGTGGCCAACTACACAAGAGAATGGGTCCTAGTAACCACAGGAAGACCAACGAGGGTTCATAACAAAAGTCTAAAGCGAAGAATTCAGTGTTCTGTTTTGGTAAATAACTGTTCAAATATCATTGATGCCTTGCCTTTAAATAAAGGCCACCCGAAAATTTTAATCCTTTATTTATTATTATCATTAATAATTTTAAACTAGGAGATAAAATAGTAGTTGGGTTACCTGTGGTTCTTACAAAACAAAATGGAGGACAACACTAACGAAGAAGAAGTCAGTGAAAATGAGCCGGTAAATTGTCGAAGATTTTCAAATATTTGATGCTGTATTTCACATAACCGTAACTTTGTTTTTGCTAAGATACTAAAAGGCATGTTTGAAGCAGAAAAACTTAAATACTTTGAAATCTAAAGATGTTTTTTAACATCTAGACTCTAGTTAGCGTCTGGTTTTTCTTCATTTTAATGAAGTCTATTTTCACGTTTAAGCTTACTTTTTTTTCAATTTCTTTGAAAGGTCGAGACACCAGATGCAGGAAAACGGAAACGATTATTTCACAAAGAACGTAAGCATTTTATTCAAGAGTTATACGATCATAAAATGCACAAATTATAGGGCTATATTTACGTATAAACATCTCGTTTGCAGTGAGGTGCATGATGTTCGGTTTTGGAGATGATCAATGTCCTTACACTGAATCTGTGGACTTCCTTGAAGACCTTGTTGTTGAGTACATCACAGAAATGGTAAACTCTTTCATGCCACTTTATCAAAGATTTATTGTATTTTATTTTTTTGAAATGCTTTGCAATAATATACACCTAAAATTTGCACGCAAGAACGCTGTCTTATGAAAATAAAACATAAAAAAATAAATATAACAAATAAGAAATAAGAATTATGAGAAATACTTTTTTGTTTGGGTTCTAAAGCCCTCCTGGTGTGATGAAAATATCTCCTTTAGTATTTATACAAGGTAATACCAAAAATGTTGACCAATATAAATAATTACACCAGTTTTCTTGAATGATTATTGATTGACCTATTTGTAGTTTTATTCCTAACTGTTGTTGGACTTCGTGGATTTTGGTGGCTAAGTGTTGTAACAACAAGTATCTATATATATATATATATATATCAAATATGCTTTACAACAGTATTATTTAGCCAAGATTCAAGTAATAGCTGCTCAGTATAGCAAGCTAATCGAGCTGAGCAGCTGTTAACTGTTTTTTTCACATTTTATAAGGTCGCCTTAGCTATAGCCAAACTCAGTTCCTGAGTTGGACTATAGATAAGTCTAAGATTTTTAGATAAATGTATTTATAATAAATCAGCCATGTAAAGTTTTCATAGTCACAACTACACATCCACTCTTATATTTTGCTACAGTCCAGGTTACTAATACATGTGTTGTTATTTTACATTTTTAGACTCTCAAAGCAATGGAAGTTGGAAAGAAAGGGAAAGTCCATTGTGAAGACATCGTGTTCCTTATTAGGAAAGACCCCAAGAAATATGCCAGGGTTAAGGTAACAATATCTAAAGTAGTAACTAATTCACCATTTTCCATACATCGCTTCACTGGTCAAACACAAAGCATTCAGTCGAGGTTGCAAGGTTCAAATTTGAATAATCCTTTGAAAGTACCTTGGCACCTCGCTTGAGCACTTAGTGTTTGCCTAGTGAGCCAATGTTATCAGCTGAAATCTCCATATGTTATTACTATGGGGAATACCACCGTTTGAGAAGAGTTAGAGAAAAATTCCACGTGCATTTGATAAATGTGGTGTTTTTCATTAATTCTTTGAGAAATAAGGTGGTATTTTATTATAATGATACAGTACATCATTATTCATAAAGTACATGTTTCTGAAGTAAAAAAAAACAATGATAGCAAATTGCGAGTAATGCAATAACAAATTGCATTTTGTTTTGCATTTATAATTCAAACAACAACACAAGGTGAAAAGTTCCTGGATGTGTGCAATTAATGAATTGCACAGGTTCAGCAAAATTAATTTAGCAAAATCAACCAATCAGAAGCAAGTATTTTATGTAGATCGGGTATTTTAAAAAGGTTAATTCAAAATTAGTCCTGATCCTACTATGCATATAGTATAGAGCCTCACATTTAGTCTGTAGTACCTCCCAAAAATTGAAGCACCACTTAATGTTCCATTTGCCTCTAATTTACATTCTTACTATTGGTTGTTTATTGGCTGGGTTCAATTTGAAGCTTACGGACACCTATTAATGATTCTTCTTATTACATGTTGACCTTTAGGATCTTCTGACAATGAATGAAGAACTTAAGAAAGCCAGGAAAGCATTTGATGCTGAAAGCTATGGAGAGATCCCATGAAATGGTATCATTTGAAGAAAAATGATGGTCAACTGGAATTACCATGTATTATTTTATCAGAACTGAATCAGGGGTTTAAACAATGGCTGGTCAGTCACAGATCATAATCACTGTTCAAAGTGTAGTTTTGACTCAGTAATACCTTTTTTTTTGTGGTTCAATATTACTGCTCAAAATGATCAATATGCAAGGCAAAGATTTGACTGGCAGGRCAAGTTTTAGTACCCAAGGTAGACCACAATGCATCATGTTTGCTACCTCAGAAAAGGTCAATTAAATCCCAAATTGTACTCTGTAGAGTCCCAATTAAGTTGCTCAATTTGTTTGAATATATTATAAACAAAGAATCACATAATCTTCTCCTACAATTCTGAATTTTTAGATACTTGTGATGTTTTGAAAGTTGTCAAATTTTGAAAACTTTCGAAACCTCACTCATATCATTCTATGAATCCCGAATTGTACTGACTAGATTGTGAGATTTCCTATATGTACAGTATTTACTATTATATATCACTTTATATACTTTAAATCCTGGGGAGGCTACTCCTTTTGTTCAAGTTGCTTAGAAAATGACTCCCCCCCACTCCCCATAAGTCTTAAAGGTAGAGTAATGTATAAATTAAAAGAGTTGTTAATACCTCAGGTACAATCATAATATGTGATTGATCATTTCATTATGATGACTGAAGGACATAGTTTCTTTTGTTCTGCCATGTTTTTTTCAAAAAATAAGGAAATAATTGAGAAACCTTGACCCTGGACAGTACAGGAGTACCCCACCCCCTTCCGTCCATCCTTCATACTGTTTGAGCTCAAACGGTTGTATATTTGAAACTTAGGCATTTTTATTGAAGCGGCTCATTTAATCATTTCTAGCTATGATCATTTGAACCAGTTTTCAATTTTTCTAATAACAAACATAGTAGGTGTGGTAGTAGCAATATTATAATAAATATCTGTTCAATTAAGACAGTTAAATCGCTGAGTATTTTTATTGAAAATTTCGTTATAAATTTTGTCATAAATAAACTTTCAATCTTATGTACAACTCTTAATAAGTTAATAAATGTACAGTAATTGTAAATCTTGCATATTCCTTAACTTTTAGGAGATAAAAATGCCTTTCATATAAACCCAAAAAAGTATGCATTTGAATATTACTGTAATCGTGCAACATTACTTTATTGCAGGAATTGAATGAGTGGACCAGTAGAAACACATGAGTTGATCCTTGTACTGCAAAGGGTGGCAAAGGGTTCCCATAACATTTCACTCTGAATTTTTAAATTAAATGATGAGTGACAGAGAAAATTTTTGAACAATCATGATCGCACATCACACATCACGCAGCTCAGTGGCGGATCCAGGACTTTAAGAGGGGGGTTCATTTTTGCTAATCTCGGCACAACAATAACGTTCTCTTGAAAACGCAGGAAGGCGAGCAAGGCAATTCAGGCCCGCGCGCCAAAAAGAATAGAGGTATGCCAATCCAGCCTTCCAGGCCYGATTATTATGGGCGAAGGTGTTAATTTTCAAAAAGCGGACCTACCATACTTTTATTTATTTATTTTAAAAAATATAAAAAATCCAAGGTGGGATGGGGTGGGGGTTTATTTGCACCCAATGAACCCCCCCTAAATCTGCCACAGCAGCTTGTTTGGGAATATAACCACAAATCACACAGCTATGTTTTTGCACCATCACGACATGCAATAAAAACCCTTTGTCAACCTGGCTTGAAACCTAAAGTTTAGCGTTTTACAACATTTTGTTCTTGAATTCTGTTACTCAGATCGTGCAATAATGATTCAGTTTTTATACTAAAATATTTTTTTGTTATCTCTTTTTTGATTTCTTCTTTTTCTTTTTACTTTGAGACAATTTAATCACATCTAGAGTATTTATACCCTTCCACATTTTCCTGAAAAAGAAAGTGATAAATGATTTAAAGGAAGTAATAGAAGACAGAAGTGGTGAGCTGGGAAAAAGTTTCATAACAGCTGTGAATTATGAATTATGCAAAACAACACAGCACACACACAAAAAACAGAAACTTAATTTGTTTTCATTTTTTTACAACTGCACACATGGGAAATTGGTGCACACTATTTAGCCAATCAGAGTGCCATATGCCCACAGTCAAAATTTAATCAATAACAGCTGTTAACGAGTTAATTATCATATTGGCTTCCACCCAACACCAATGTCAGCGAGTCACAGAATATGGCTTCAAAGTTGTGCTAATAATTATTAACCAACCATGCATTTTGAAAACCACAAATTGAAATACTCACCTTGCTTCATTTTCATCTGTATGAGATTTCTCCATCAACTCTTCAAGTTCTTTCTCCAGCTCCTGGTAAAAAAATTAAATAATATAATAAAATAATAACATTTTCAAATTGTCCATTTAACAGTCCCTGTACGTGCCAATCTTGAAAACCTGGAAATAGGAAATATTGAACTGTGAATGAAATGTTTGCAGATTGGCTAATTCGTTCAGGCTGAAAAACCGATCAAATTACCTGGATGTAGGTGAGCCTTCAAAATGTGAGAAATAAACAGGAACCCCAAAAATAATTGGGCATACATAATATTATATTGCTGTCATAGAAAAAATGCATTTTTGCTATATTCTACCAAACTCCCCCCTCCCCCTTAACTCAGATAAATATTATGATCAGTCCCTAAGCCCTGGACAATTATTAAAAAAATGTCTGCTAAGGGTTCTGGGATAATTTGTACAGTAATTAATTTGTTCAAGAAGCAAGAAAATCTATTGACAGTACTTACAACAATTGATTGTTCCAAAAATTCATTCTGTTTCAGCAGTTTTTGGATATCAACCTGAAAAAAAATTAGAACCAAATTCAGTTAAATAGATTGTACACTAATGGTTCACAATTACATTGTAATATTGGATGGTGATTATTGTGTGGACACACTAACCGGGACCAATGGAATGAATAAAACTGACCAATCAGATAACAGTAAGCTAGATATTGAACTGATAACAGTGTTAGCCAATCAGATTATCACATTCTCACACTCTTATTATATCAATGTGCTATCTAATTGGCTGGTTAAATATGAATCCTACAGGTGTTTGGCTAAACAAAGAGGGATAGTTGAATGTTGACAATGAGATCCTCCGGTACCGGTGGAAAAGGAGGATTCCTGTAGGAATCTGACTGTTCATTCAGCTCACGAACTTTCAAGTCAGAAATCTTGTGTACTTGATAAATTTATTGGGAAGCACGGGTGGCGTATCAGTGAGAGCGCTTGCCTCTCACCAATGCGGCCTGAGTTCGAGTACTGCTGAGCTTGGTCTCATGTGTGAGTAGAGTTGTTTGTTGGTTGTCTCCTGTGCTTAGAGGGTTTTCCGGGTTTCCCGGCTTTCCTCCCTCCGCAAAAACCAACTCCTAAATTCCAATTGGAATTACAGTGGATGAATAGCTACTCTGTAGAAATGCCACTGATAGATCCCATTTATTTATTTATTCATTTATTATTATTATTATTATTATTATTTCTTAGTGAGAAATTAATGTAGAAGTATTATTATTATTACTGATTGTTTTTTATTTTATTATTGAAAGGTATGCATATAATTATTATTAATAACATTATGTACAGCCTTATCCTGTCACCTCAGTTTCTTTGACACACTGCTCTAAATGATGACAAACAGAAACAGGGACACATTCCTGTCTCTGGTGTCTCTTTAATGCTTCAATGGCTTCTAACTTCTCAAAAATCTGTAATAAAAATAATAATAATTTACTACACTTACATTGCGCAATTATCAATATCGGGAATCTTTTTTCTCGCATCTGTAACACTAGTCTCCCTCGCATCCGTTTTTAGTGTTAGTTGCCAACGCTCCATCGTTGCCTGACGACTGACACTAAAAACGGATGCGAGGGAGACTACTGTAACAATCTCACATCTAGCTTTCACAGAATGAGAGCACTTCATAAAAACCTATACAGGTATGACTGCTTTAAATATAAATAGCAATCATTATAGCTAGTTTACGATATAATGTATGGAAAAACTTTAATTTAATGAAAGTAGAGCTGTGCTTTCTAAATTTACAAGGGATTGTTAATTTTTGTACTGACATATTTTTTAATTACATGTATGCTTCAAATTCTTGTTTTAAAAAGTGGCAAAAATCACAGCACAACAAGACTGCTGGACCAACAATGTGCTGTTACATGTACAACTGATATTGGTTATCGGTTATGATATAAGGTAGCACTTCCTCCTAAGTTATTTTAAGACCCTGAGTGTATGTTGGTGCAACCAGGACTTCAAGTCACAACCTCCCCCACAACAAACCTATACTCATAGTTTGTGAACTGTCAACCTCTAGTTAATACTAAAATTAAGAAAATTCAAATTCAAAGCCCCAACCTGTGTGTGTAAATCATTGACTTGTTCTTCTAAGTCTTTTGGAACATCTTCTACATGCACTTGTGCCTTCGGTGCTTGGGTTTCTAAAACAATTTACAAAAGTCATATTATGATTAAGGCATTGCATCCATAACTTTTTACTGTACAGTCACAGGCAATACACTAATCCCGCATTCATTGTTTTAGCTCTCTAGTTACTGTTGCTATGTCTGAAAAGCTAAAATGTGTTTTGATTATACAGCATGGAACAGACACACTCTCAGATTGCTGAAAATTGTGATCTCTGCATGTCTTTGAATCAATGCATTCTAAATGTGCATTAAGGAAAAAAATTTGATAACTAAATAAAATATAAATTCTTATGAATTTCAGTTGGTGGTCTAGCATTCTGTATTCCAATGGGAAAACTACCCGTTGTTTGGGTGGACACTCATTAAGCAAAGCCGGGATTGGTCTATTTTGCCATTATCACCGCTGACAATTATAGATTTATTTCTTTCTGGTGCAATTTATATTGTTTTCCCATTATACAACATGATTGTGTCATTTCCTTGAGATTAAGATTTAGAATAAAGATTCTTTGTGGGGTTTGTATATTTAGATTCCTATTGTCCCATTCATGAATCTTCTCATGCACAACTGTTAAAAAAGAAATGATACTCTAGGGAATGACAGGATATCTGTGATGGGAAAACAATTGCACCATGATACATAAGGTGTACTATTTATTTTTCTCACACTCATTGTAATGAATGAATGAGATAACCATGATGAGACACATAGTGGCCCAATGAAAGTGGAATAATATCAAGGTCAAAAATCTGATCACTTATTTTATTTTATGCTATATGACATTAATTTTTCTCTTATTCTTTTCTTTTCTTTTCTTTTATTATTTTTGACATTATTTTCTCGACTTATTTTATTTTGTTTTATTTTAACTAACATATCACACAAATACCAATTGCTTACCTTTAGCGACATTTGCAAGTTCTTCGGCCGCCTTATCTTCTTCCTCCTTCAATTCAATCTTCAACCTGCAGGACGTAATTTTATCAATATCTAAAAATGTCAGAATAAGGACTTCTTTACACAGTCGTGGTTTTAGAATTACAGTATAACAGTTTTGCTGACCTGTACATAACATCAGAGGACAAAATATCAGGTTTTGGAAACAACATACCCCAAGTAAAGGGGGAGTACTGTACTCAACCCATATATAAAAGGGTTAAGAGGAACCCACTTRCATGTACTCTGTGATGGTTTGTTTAATATTAAGACACCCCAAAATAGAAGATAATAAATAAAATAACAAGACTAGCAGAGGTGATCTGGGACTGCAAAAGGAACGACGAGCCGACTGGCACTTTTTCAATCAAAGACCCCCCCTGGGGTGTACTGTACACCTCCTTCCCTGGCCCTATCAAAAAATACTATTCAAAAGTCTGGTTACCTTTCTAGCCACCCTCCATGGAAAGTACTATTTTATAATTTATGAACCTTTCAAATCACTCTAATTATAAATTTTACCCCTGGGTTCCAGAGGATGGTATGCATAATTATATACCTTTTCCGAGATAGCAAACATGATGCATTGGTGGTCTACCTTGAGTACTGAAACAATTTTATTCATCATGCATTATATGGTGTTGTTTGTACTGAAGCTAGACCATGCATCCTGTTTATCAAACTCAGAGAAGGTCTTTGCACTCCTGTCTAAAGATTAATAATTGACTATATTTTACCTCTCGTTCTCTTCCAGTAAAGAGCGAGCTTCCTTTTCAAACATTGCTACTCTCTCTTGTTCCTTTTTCAATTCCCCAGACACAGACTGGTCTTGTGCCAGGCTATCAAGATGGTGGTACAGCAGCTTGTGTTGAGAGGGTCTTTGCGTATCAAGCAAGTATGACATGTAGTTATCGTATTCATCCTGGAATATTACAATTCTATTAGAAACCTATTTCAATTTATGAATGGGCTCTTGGCAGGTATTGCATGACATTTAAAATATCTGACTTCCTGTTCTTAAAAAATATCATGTTTAAAAAGAACAGCCAAAAATTATGGGATTTGGAAATTATGAGGACAATCCAGTAAATACGGACGAAATTACAGACAATCAAAGTACTGTTGAGTATTTTTACAAAAAGAATGTATGGTGTAGGTAGGGCAACACCTTGTCCACCAACATACGTTTGTATCGTCAATATCGTCTTTGATCGTCAATAACTTCGTCCGTATTTACTGGATTGTCCTCATAAATTCCAAATTCCCTAATTTTGGGATGTTCTTTTAAACATGATACTCTTAAGAACAGGGAATCAATTAATATATCTTAAATGTCACACAATACCTGCCAAGAGCCCATTGACAAGAACTGTATTACAGTATTCCAATGCAAACTATTTACTTTGGACGGGTGATGGTCATCATTTTAACGATCTGCATTTCATAACTTACCCAATCAAGTACTGATATAAACCATCCTTGTATCTATGAGGGTAGCATTTAATAGGCAGTGCCTTACAAACCTGTGGCCAATGTTCCATGATCAAATTGGAATTTAGGAGTTGGTTTTTTTAGGAGGGAGGAAAACCGGAGAACCCGGAGAAAAACCCCTCGAAGCACAGGAGAGAAACAACAAACAACTCTACTCACATGGGTAACTGAGCCAGGCAGGAATTGAACCTAGGTCGCATCAGTGAGAGGCAAGCGCTCTTACTGCTACGCCACCACGCTGCTTCATGTATCATTGTAATATCAAATCAACTTTCAATTTAAATAATACAGTCATCTACTAGCTAGTTTTTTTTTTGTTTTAAGACTGAGACTTGCCTTAATGCTCTTAAGGATTCCACCAAACGTATCAGAGTGATCAATGATCTCCTGCCATATATCAGTGTAGATCTGTAGTCTATGAAAGTTGGGTCCCCGTTGACTGGTTGAATCCAATGCATTTAGTTTCTGTGATGGATAAGATACAACACATTATGATCTTGAATCACATGTATGAAATATAATATTAGGAAATCAAAGTAGCCGACATTGCACATAAAGTCAGACAGTTTTCGTTAGCATATTTAGTCTTGCCAAACGATTTTAATTTGGATATAATTTGACCTACTGCTGCAGTAGAGTTTCCTGCTTACAAAATATTCAAATAAATATTTCCATCTTTCATATGGTAAATATCAGGGCCTGTATATTGCTTTAAGCAATATCAGTCTACAGCCTACTCTAATAGGATGGATATGTAGTATGGATAGTTTCTAGAACTACACAATGTTTTCCCATTTCAGACAATGTGTTATTCCCTTGAGAATAAGAATCTTTGTTTGAGACATGTATCTATATTCATGCATCTTCTCATGTGCAATCGTTAAACAAAGAAATGATACTCTAGGGAATGACACATGGTCTGACATGGGAAAACATTACACCCATGCAAGCACATGCAAGCCAAGGATGTCTATTGTTATTGTACTGTATGAGTCGAGTTTTTTTTAAATACAATGTGTAGCTGTATATTGCATCAACCTAAGTCATCATGATCAATGTTTTAATGTCTGAATGACATAAAAATTTCAATATTCTGAACATCTTATCAACCCAAAATCCTTTATCAGTAATACAGCAGGATATCAAACGGTACCTTTAACAGTTTCTTATGCAGCATTCTCACAGTTTTCTCTCCCGTCAATACTCCTCTATCATTTGCATCTTTAAGGTGAATAACTTTGTCTTCAAAATCTTTAAAACTAGCAAACTGGTCTCTCTTGGTGGGCTGATTCAGGTAGCTCTGAAGGAAGGCATTCTCATAGTATTCCTCACCTTTTCTATCTGTAATAGAACACGGAGAGGGGAAATTTATTATTCCTTGTTGTGGACTACTACAGCATGTCTGACTCAAGCAGCTCATTTAAGCCTGGATTTTGCTAGCAACATTCAAGCATTTATGCATGCAAGTAAAGATAGTCTTACACAGTTAGTTAACCCCTATGTGTATTTCAGTACCAAGGCTGCTTTTTTTTTTTTTTTCTAATAAGCCTGTCATGTGTCAGATCAGGGACATGCAGCCAGTGTGGTCAGACAAAAGCTTCAATCAAATTTTAAATCAATTTTTTCCAAACCTTTGTGAGCTACTGGAATCATGATTTCTGGTAAGTGAAGCTCTTCAACGTTGACAGGGACTCTCTTGGTGGCTGAAGATACCTCTGGCTCTGCTGCTAGCTTCAGAACAGATTCACCTAAAGGAAAGAAAACAATTAGAAATAACTAATTATACTGTACATGTATATAGGCCTCCACGGAAATTAAACTATGCTTTGAAACCATTGCTTTCAGGATGTTATGGCTTTAGGATGTGGTTCAAGCCTTAGCAGGACCAACACTCAGGGCCTGAGGAGAAGGTACTGCCTTTGTTAGTACATCTGCAAATGGTTAGAGACCTTCAAGTCTTCTCGRAAAAGGACTTTAAACTTTTAGACCCTGTCTCCCAACCCTTCCCAACCTGTACATAAAAAGCCTTTTGAATAATTTGTGTGGCAGGGGATTGTCTCCCGGTTCAACAGCCTATTCCAACTTGGAGGCATAACACTAATGTACTAACAATTCACTCTTGATCATAAGCTGCACGTCTGCTAATAGTACCTTAATATGCAGCCCATAAAAACCTCCACTGGTCATAAAATTAATGTAAAGTGCGTTGATACAACTGCAAAATGCACTAACCAACCAACTCAGCTACACCTGCTCCTATGTTTATACCTAATCTGTTGTTTTTTTCCATTTCAGAACAGACCACACTCCATTCACTTTTGTATGATTTCTTTCTTAAAATATGGCTACTTTCAATTCAATTACAAACGTAAATGTAATAGGGATGGGAGAAGGCAGATTGAGAATAGAGGTCCACATTGATATATATTTTTCTTCCATTTGAAATTATTCAGTGCATCACAGCATACAGAGTTCTGACAACTGCATGCAATTTTCGGGGTATTCTATAATTGCTCCAGTACATACTTATAGAATACCAAGCAAATCATGTGTACATACTTAACAACCATGAAATCTATTTTTGTATGCGTCATTTTTCAAAGAGTTAATTCCAACAACTATAGCTGCATATCATTTGCAGAGTATTCTATAATTGCTCCTGTGCGTCGTTCTTCAAAGAGTCCCAACAACTGCATATCATTATTTTGCAGAGTATTCTATAATTGCTTCATTAATAACTTACCAGTCATGCTTCCAATGGGCCCAAGACTGAATTCAATCAATGTATCTTCCATTTTCTGCTGTACTGTTTCGGCCTCAGACAACTGCCCAACTCTCACTGGATAGTCAACGACCCTGTGAGCTGCCTTTAACCTAGGTAATTAGCGTTTGTTACATATATATTATAATGATATTCATACAGTATTCACTTGATACAATGTAATATATAGAGGATATTACATGGGCGCGTGGAGATATTGTTACTATGTCAATAGCGATATCTTCACGTGTGAAAGATATGGTATCTTTCTCTGGTGAAAGATATCAAGTTTTCGACACTAGAGAAAACCTGGTATTTCATCGATATCTATATAATAATAACAAATATCGTGACATAAGCTTAATATGATACTTCTTTCGTTTATCCTAGTCGAATTAGCTCCAAATTCAATATATCTGGTGAACATTGACCTAAGGTTGGAAAGTAGTCCTTTGTTTCTGTGAAGTAACTATGAGTAAGCTTACTGTCATATTTGTTGTGAAATGTTTACAGCGCTGTAGATTTAATTTTCAGTACCTTATTGGAGGCTCTTTTGAGCTCTCCCATGGTGAATGTCGTTCACTTTGGCTCTTCATTAGTTTACTTAGATTAAGATGTCCACTTGCGTAGTCTTTAATGTCATTTCTATGGACTTCATAGACCTTTTCTAGCAAATTTTTCAAAGGTCTCTTATCTTCTTCTTGTTGTTTATCCGCCATTTTGTCTGTTGTATTCTCACGTTACCAGGACACCCAGGAATAATGGCACAGGAAGCCCAAAATATTAACCATTAAAAATCCATTAAAAAAATAAGATAAATACGCTACTTTTTTCCTTTCAAAAGCAGTATCAAATGTGTGTGGTTTTTTTTTAAATCTTACTTCTTCATAGTTCATTTTTCATATTTTTTCTGATTGATATCAGGCCTATTCAAGTGATCGTACGAGGGCGGGGTTCCTGTGGTAAGGGCTCAAACAAAGATGGCGGCTCGTTTGCCTCCTAAAACTCTCAACTTCAAACAGGTCAGTTTGGGCCAGTGTTTTCTTAAATTTCATGAGTCAGTTCTTTAGCCAATATCGTGCCTTATTTGTATCTTACAATCTTAAAATTTATCAATATTTTGAGCTTTTTTAATGCTTTCTCCTTTTTCTCTTGCTTCTCTTGCTTCACTTGCTTCATGGCGACCTTCATGGCAGTTTCTGGTCAGACGGCAAGTACTAACACTGTATCGTGAGATAATGAAAACTTTAAAGGAAGTACCGAATGCCCAACACAGAGAAGACCTCAAGGTCTGGGCAAGAGATGAGTTCAAACAAAATAAAAATGAGAAAGATGAGGTAAGCAAGTTGCTGCTACATTTAACAGTTATTCCACACAGGTAGCCCAGAGAGGACATATGTATTCCAGTGAAACTGTAGACAGATTTTGAAAGAAGTTCCCAGATTTAATAGCTTGTCCAAGACTGAGGAGAAAGATGGATCAAGTTAGAGTGTAAATTGTGGATCTGTTCTAGGGGATATTTCTAATTCCGAGATGGGGTCTATTTTGCCCTCTAGAACAATCCCACAATGCACCACAATGCCATTTCAAGCCAGTTTTTTCCTCACAACCTTGGAATAGCTAATCCTACAACTACGCACTATACATTATGTGCAAGGACTTTTTTGGGCTGACTGTGCTTTCGAGTAATCCAGTACCTCTCGAAAGCTGGATTTCCATTGCTCTCTAAGTACAGTACCGCTTTTGTAAGGTTAGGTTTAGTGCTGTTGTTTGGATGACCAAGCTATTGTTTTTTATTCCAATCATGTAACTCGTTCTGAGCGGTGCGGGCTAGCTCTTGCTTTCCCATCTATACAGATCATATGATAAGACCGAAATGATTTTTTTCACATGTCAAAGATAATAAGATCATTGTATAATATTATGTAATCTTTTCTAGGCATCAATACAGCACATGATATATCATGGACAACAGATACTAAAAGAAATTGCCAGTTCCTTAGCAATGGCAAAATGATAGTGGAAATCTTCGCTGGAAAATTATGCAATGTCTTCGGGACTACTGACATGCTCGTGTTCACATGAAACTGGCGTCAACTATTTCTTTATATTTTATTATGTCTTTCTTGTTTTTCAATCTGTTTCATGGTGTGCCCACAAGTCTTTGATCTATTTTGGGTTTAATTTGCAAACCAGCATTTGGGATAAGACAGCAGTACTGCAATTATGAACACTGATAAACACTGAGGAATGACACTTAAGTATTTTTCTTTAGGTACCAAGTTGGAAGTCACTCATTTGACATTGATAACCTGGTTAGAAAGATGTGATAGACAAGCATATCTAACTAGCCAATTAGGTGCCAGAAATGACTCATTCATGAACACGGGGGGGGAGGGGGGTGGGGGGAATTTTCAGGTATGCTTATTTTATTTTTTAGAGGAAAAAGTCAGTGATTTGACATCTTTTAGGGTCTTAAAATGACTCCAAAACTCAAAAAACAAACCTGGTTTTTGGGCTTTATCAATAAAACTCTGAGGTGACTCATCTCGTACAAGATTCGCAGTACAAGATCTCGCAGATTTTTTGAAGAATGTTTTCTGTTTCTAGATCGATCCTAGCCTGTTTTGATATATCATGTTAAAGTTATCAACCGGACTGCAATTCAGTCAATAAAGTAAACAAATTGTGAGCGTAGCGTTTATCGTAGCGTTGCACGAACTATAACTCATTTCTATTCTTCACAACGGTTTGCAGCAACTGGCAACGCTATTGTACAGCGCATCACCCCTCCAACAACTTTTTCTCGCAATTTGAAGAGCGCATTCGCACATTTCTCATTTCTTTCCGTGGAGCCAAAAAAGTCTTTTGTTTAAATCCATTAGATGACGTAACGTGAAGACGAAGGATAGATCTAATCCACTGTTTTCCCATTTTAGACCACGTGTCATTCCCTAGAGTATTATTYCYTTGKTTAACGGTTGCACATRAGAAGACAMATAAATATGGATACAACTCAAACAAAGAAACAATCTTATTCTCAAGAGAGTGGCATGTGGTCTGAAATAGTCAGACATTACGCCCAAGTGGATTTGGATCAAATGTAACTAAAGCTTGACAGGGAGGTCGCACTTCTTTGGCTCAGATTATAACGGCTATCAGTGTTAAAGACGATTTTATAACCTTGCCGGGCTTGAACGTTGCGCGCAACCGTTTCAGAAGTAAACACACATTCGCGTATGTTCTGCAGACCCTTAGGTATAATTTATCATTTCAGATCAGGTATCATTCTAGGGCAGTAGCCACCGGTAAGGTTTTGGTCCGGTTTTAATTGGACCTTTTCAGAACACTTCTTTTCCGTCAGAACCATTTTTCCCGTTCGTATAAAAGTGGAGAATTGGAGACAGTCGGTTTTGTATTTTCTATAAAACCCGACCACTGTCCAAATAGGGGCTAAGCTAAGACACTGCATTCCCTTGCGTATTATTCATTTGATTCCCTGAATGCAGTAGTTTCAATAGACCTATTATGGATATTGATGCTGCCTATTACTGGGTACTGAGTAGCTATGAATAGACTTTTTACCGATACGGCGGCCATCTTGGATTCTATTGTTTTCAGTAATACTCCCATTTCGAGTTCAAGTTTGGCTTAGTCTAAGCCTCGATTGTGTACAAATGTGTTCTTATCTTTCATTAAGGTCCATTGTATAGTAAGGAATGTATGTACTACGGGACAATACGAGTTGACGAAAATGTTACGGGTTTTGGCTAAATAGCTGTGAATATTACAAAGCACAACCGAGACTATTAAAGCTGAGCAAAAGAGAACTCGAAAGTGGAGTATTGAAAAGTGGGATGCTGAGAAACTTATAGACTGCACAGTCGTCAGGATGTCTTTTAATATTACTTTACGCTTTTTTAATGAGAAGAACATCTAAACTGAACCAATTGAATTTGCTGGTAGTTGGAACAATATGTAACACACCAAGACTTCAGCTTATTTGAAAACGTAAACCCGCCACTCTTTGCTAAAGTTAGTTTCTACGCGTTTCTCCCAGCTTCGGCACCCCAATCACACTTTCAAGTGGCCTATTAGGGATGAGGTCAAAGCAACTAAATTTAACGGGACCCGTGGGGGGTGAGGTTATTATCTGACTCTAAAAGGAAAATCCTGTTAAATAATCCGTATTGTAGAGAATTAATTAAAAAATTTTAACAGAAAGATAAAAGGAAACATGATAAGATAAGACTGATCCAACTTCATGGCATCAAAATCCATTCGTTATACACCAAATCTGAAGCAGGTATGTAGGACACGAGTGAAAAACGTCTGCGCATGCTCTAAATCCGTATGCAAATTAATCAAAACGTCTTCAAGCTATCGTGAAAATATGTAAATTTTAACTTTCAAACATGCCTCATAAATTCCCTCACAAAATTATACCAAAACCTAGTGTCCATKCTTGAAACTTAAGRCTAATTCTTTMATATYGTSTTTRTTAATACAGTATCTTGGTCYSACAAAAGTATACTCKCGAAYTTTTTTGTATACTCGGAGAAAACAATGTCTATTTTCTCACTCAAACTCTTCTATAAATTCTCAAAAAACGTGCTGAAATGCACGCATGCCCAAACCTTTTTCTGTAGTGTCGGTATGTAGGATATTGACACTATTGCCCTCGAACAAAAAGATTTGAGCGGCGCTCTTCCAAATTTAGTTCAAAAAAGAAGACTAGTATCTAACGCTACCATCAAACATTGAAAACTTGAAAAGTTCTCAAAACCCGAGTTAATTCGTAATATTTATAGTAGATCTTGTCTTGAATGGCCACTGTCAAACCGTACACTTGCCACAAGAGAATGGACAGTATGATAGAACGTCTGGATAGCGATCAATACACAGGCCTTGATCAGCATATAGTGGGCACTTGTCTAATACATCTTTGCAGTCTGAAACAAGTTAGAAAATGCAACACTGTTACTACAAGATACAAGAACACTTCAGTTTGCCATCATCGCAATTCACATAATCAAAAAAGGAATTGGAAGTTCAAAGTAAAATTTTTAAAAATGTATCCACCCATCTTAGCCTCTACTGAGATCTCCTTCCTTTTCTAGATTAGCTTTATGACGAGTAACTGCTAAAGCTAATAACAGAATAAAACTAAGGGAAATGGAAGTAATTTTACAAAGAAATAGAATATATATAATGAACGCTTCCTTGAATTAGAATCGTCTCACAAAATAGAGGAAAAGATGACTACTTACAGTCAAACTAAGTAAACAGTGAACCTAAAATATGTCTGGAATGTGTGTTAAATTAACATCGTGTCCTGACCAATCACATGCGACAGTTAATTAACATGAATTCGCGCATGCGATTGGTCAGACATATTTTAGGTGTTCACGGTTTTCTTAGTTTGACTGTTAGTTAACAACATCATAAGTAATAAACATGTACGTTCATACCACTTGCAGGAGGTTTGGTAGTTGGAGCTAGAGGTATTTCATAGACAAAGTTAGCAAATGATTTGCCAACACACAGACTCGTGTCCTTTTTACAGATTCCCTGATCTCGACCTACGCATTCATCTGATGGTCCGTGAACAGCATATTCGGCCGCTGAAGTCACGTTGCCGCTCCAGCACTCGCCATAGAACTGAATTCCAAAATATTTATAACCCCTTTTACGAGATTCAATGGCGCACCTACAAATAAAGCTGAAGGGTTGAAACAGAAGAATTAGAATGTAATTTAGGAAAAGCAAACCTCGTGGATTGACAGAACCTAATCTGGATTACAGAGGCGGTTACCATTCCCGTACCCACACGACATTGAAAATAAGTAGGGCCCGGGTACTAGAATGATGCGGTCGGGTAACGAAACCTACGACCTGGAAGCACTGGAGCGAGCGCAGACAGCAACAGGACTGAGTGGTCACGGACTTTAGAAGCACTCACCAACACCGCCAAACAAATTTTTTTGATCCATATACATGACAGGTAATGTTGAAAAAGTTACTTCGTTGACCCCTCGCCCTTGCAACGTTTTTCAGCGTAAAATCCCTGCCTCTCATGATGACCGGTCCGGGGTTCTATTTCTAGCCACCGCACTTGAACTGAGTAAACTGGTTCTCTTTTTGACTCCGAGGATTTTTCCGACCCTCTGTGTTCTCCCCCCTCTCAAAATCAACCCTAACTAATTCAAACTGGTTCAGAGCTGTTCTTCGGGGTCATACATAGGCTGTATAGCAGCAGCCAGAGGCGCCTTCACATGCTTTTAGTTCAACCCTGTTGAGCTGTGCCACTGCTGTACCTACGGTGGTGATTAGCAAATCGTTTTCACCCGCCCTCGTATATTTCTCACAGAAACAGGTTTTTTTTCTTCGTTATTTTGTGCTAATCAATCCAAAAGCATTGAAATCACAACAACAAATAAGTGAAAATAGCGTACCCACCAACGCTTCCGACCCACCCACCTTGAACACCCCCTCAACACCAAGCACTACGCATCCGCCACACACTACACACAGAAGCTACACACCAGTCATTTTGTGGGCAAATTAGTTTAGATAAAACTAATCTTAATGTCGGTATTAATTTGTCACTGTCACCAGTACCAATTTCGGAGAAATGAAATTGCTGGAAATTTTCTATCCCTGTTAAAAAATTCCTATTGATAGTAGTAACAGTTAAAGTCCGTACAAATTTAATTAAGGACATGCCAAAGCATTCAAATGGTTTCTCTTTGTTATCGTTCAACTTACATGACGAACAGCGGAATGGAATAGCTCCCCTTTTTTCTGTGGTAAAAAAGCCTAATAATACAATAGGAAAAGACCCTCCTCCCCCTAAGTTGAAGTGACAAAAAAAACATCGATACCCTGAGACAACCTCTGGGTTGATCTATGTCAGGGCACGATTATTTAACTTACAGGTGATCACACTATTGATTATCTCAAAGGTAATTGGAATTTAGTGTGTGATTTTTTAGTGCAGGTAGGAAAACCCTCGAATCAAAAGAGAGACCTAACAAACTCGTCATCTGTGATTTAGAGTCGAGGAATCAAACCCGTACACCAAACCACTCTCGGATTTTTAAGTAGCAAATTTGTCTAATCTCGATCCTATGCATTGAAGACAGCTGCTTAAAACGTCTATTCTATGTTTTTTTTTCTCTATTTTGATTTTACCTTTGGATAAACATGTCCCAATTACCCCATGACTCTTCAATCTCAACTCGTCCAGATATCAGTAGGTCTGGTAGAGCTCTTGCTGCTACAGAATCTTTATAACAGCCTTTCCTCGTGTACCTTTCTGGACACGTCATCGTAGGGCCAGTATCTTGTTAGGAAGCAAACATAAAATTAACAAAAATAAAAGAAAGAGAGAGAGAGAGAGAGA